CAATCACACCTCATTAAAAAAAAAATCGTCTCAATTTTTGCAGAAAATAGTGTATGCGAAAATAATAGAAACAACAAATTAAAAAGCATTAAAAAGCGTCTAGAAATGTATATATATTGAAATATTAAATGTAAAAGTATGTTTAGTTTACTAACAAAAAATTTAGAAGAAAGAAGAGTCTACTTTTTGCAGTTCTATATGAAATAAATTCATATAAGATTATTTAATCGGCGGATTGATCATTTTATCAATTTGCATTTTGCAGCAGCACTCAAGTGTGAAATGGGCCTTAAGATCAGTAAGATTCGTTACTGTTCATACATCGGATTAACCTTTCGTGGCAGTGTCCACTTCTTTCGCGCATTCTACTTTGTAACAAAGCCGCGAGGCTATTCGGAAACTTTCTGAAAAAGACATTTTCTTTTCGTTTTTTGTGTGTAAAATACCGTATTAGATTTCTCATTATCAATTCCAAAAAATTATAATCTTTGAAACTAGACATTACCAAACATCATTTACATTTTGAGCTTCTTTAATTTCTCCTAATCATCGACTTTTGATAGTATTACTCTTATTTGACATTATTCATAAAACGAATTAACCCTGATATACTTGTATTATACTCGCAGAGTTTTAAAACAAAGGCGCCTTGTGCGGTCAGGAACTCGTTTCCATGTGCACGTTCCATCGGTTATGCGAGGCATAAAGGAGGCCAGCTGGTGTAACTATACAGCAGTGGCGATTTCTGAACGTATTTCATGATATCGCGTTGCCTTGAAAACGAGAGTTTCGAGTTTTTGATATTGGAGCAAATTAAAGAGTCCGTTTCTTTAATGTCCATTTATTTTGTTGCCACTTTTCTTCTTTTTTATATTTAAAACTTATTTGTTTCGTGTAAAATGCAATTTACGTATCATTGTATAATCACAATAATATATGTTGTAAATACAATAAATATTATAAACATAAACTAATCTTCAGAATATAATTACGTTATTATACACATTATTATGTCTTATTGTCTGTTAATTTATCCTTTCGTACAAAATTTTTACTCTTGTAGATTCATATTAATAAAAAAAAACATTCATTCATTGTTAATAATTGTAATTGTTTTATTTTACTCTTTTCTCCAAAAATCAAAGATAAAATTTAATTTTTTTCTTATCAATGTCTAAGAATAAAAAATTATAAAGATTCAATCGAGAATCAATCAAGTAATATGCAGAGAGAAGAAGCGTGAAATAAAAGAATATCTCTAAAATATTTTAGCCATTTCTAAAACATAAATCTCTTTGTAATTATCTTTTATCTCTATTCAATTCTTTTATATAAAAATATACAATTTTCAAAAATATATAATTTTAAAAAATCATTCAAAATGTTGTTATTTTCTTAATATCTTAAGAATATATCAAAAATATGTAGTGTCTCGGTAGAAAGTGAATAAAATTAGAAATTTATACTTTCCATATAAAAATAAATGTTATGTGAAACAATTAAATAAGGGCGATATTTATATTTAATACAATTTTAAAGTTGAAATAAAAATTTTATCATTATTTAATTTTTTAAATAATACTTAATTAATATTATTTAAATATAATTATTATTTAAATTAATTAATTAATTAAATATAACTTAGTAAACTAATATTTAACTTAAAGAAACTAATTATTTATCTTAATTAATTATTTAAATATAACTTAATTAATTTTAAAAATATATTTATTTCTTTTATTAAAATAATTTTTAAACCAAGTTGTAAATCACTGTAAACTTTTTGTATTAATTTTTATTAAACTTTTTAAACTTTTTGTATTATTTTCAGGTACAATATAAAAAAATTTGTAATTATTTTCATAACTTTTTTTAGTTAAAAAATACACAATTTAAACTCAAACGCCTCTCTTTCAATAAACATTTGAAGGAGTGCTATCAGACATAAAAATTTCATATGCAATTGATAGATATTTGAATATCAATGCAAATAAAATCCTTTCAGAAATAACGCGATGAGTCAAGCGAGGGCATGATTAATTATGTATCTGAATTTCTGCCGAAATTTCTGGTGATATAATATATATGTTCATGAATAATAAAGTACGCACTGCCTTGATTAAATTTTATCAACAATTTCAAGGAATAGAGACGAATGTGTTGTGGCTAAAAATATCTAATATATATTTATTATACACCTAGAAATTTCTGGCATTTCCGCTGTGAAACATGTTCACACATGCGATTTAATCATGTCTGATATCGTGACATACGATAAATGTAGTATTATCAGCGGTATTGTCAAGGCTCATACAACAGTTAAGTTAAAAATATATAGACGATATAATATTTGTATAATACAAAATATATTCGTCATAGAATAAACAAATGAATCGGTTGAAATAAATCAGCAGTTAGAAATAAATAAATATTAAATAAATAGTCTAAGGTAGTATAAAAAAAAAATTATAAAAAAAAAGATATATTAAAAATAATAAAGAAATTCATTTTGTAAAACGATGTGACTTTTTGTTTCCAGTTTGTAATATCATGCGACGTTTCGATTACATAAGGAACGTAAGTAAGGAACGTACGTAAAAACTCGGTTTATCGCACGACAAACGCGAATCCGAGGAAACGATTCGCAAAGGTGGAAGCCCGTGAAGAGTCGGCGGATTCTGTTCCGAGAAGAACAGAAATGGAAACCGAGACGATTCGCTACTGAGAGATGTATATGAACACGTTCGAGACTCTTCATGGGACATTTATATGTTGCGACGCCGCGGCGTTCAAACGACACTTCGAAGAATGCACGAAAGTGCGTGTTAAGTATGTTGTAAAACACACGTTACGAAATGTACGAAAATATTTCTTGAGTCCCGTCATCGATTTACAACACGGACATTTGACATTTTCCTTCCTCCAACATTTCTGTCTTTCCTGAAAAGAAGCATTATTGGCTTTAAAAAATGTGAAAAACTGTTAAATCGTTCTAGCAAGATTTTGAAGAAAATTTTATGGCAGGAAAACGTCAGTCTGTTTAACACTTAACATAACACCACGCATTGAAAATAAAAAATATGCAATTTTTCAATAATACTTTAATAATATATGCAACATATATACTTTTTTAATAATTTATATGTATAATAATAAGTCTAAAGTAATATGTCTTTTACAGACACATTAAGGATAAAAAGAAGCAATAATTTGTCTTTTACTTATTTAATCAAGTATGAAAAAGAAAAAATAAAAGAAACAATAAGATCCGTCGGAGTCAGCTATTGAATATAGCTTGAAACGAATGGTTTCTTTCAATTCTTTAGAGGATATGGAATTCCTTATGAAATAATGAATAAATATCTTATATATTTTTCGTTACGCACGTTTATCATAATAAAAGACGCTTTACATTACACAAATAGTCCTATACGAATGTCTACATTGAATTATCTCTTCTCTTAACTTTATCGAAAAATTCCTAGAATTCTCACAATAATACGATTTCTTAGCAAAAAAAAAAAAATAACAGCATTATAATACTATTAATCACCTACAGGATTCGTCTGTAAAAATGATATTTTTGTTTCCATTTGCAATCCGTAAATACGAGATTATTCGTGAAATAGAGAACGTTTGTTTGTTTCGATTGCAATTCCTCCGTCTCATCTCAGTTTTTAAAGATACGCGTTTAATTTGAGATGCAAAAAATGCAACATCGACGCGACATCGGGTATCGTCCTGGACTCGTTCCGTGATTCCGAACGCGAGAAGCCAGCAGTCATCACAACAATCAACAACGATTAGTCATCGTTGCGCGCGCGGAAAGGACCTGACCTGGTCTCGCGTGGCTCGCGTGAGTTCACGTGTACGCGCGCACGTGTGCGGCACCAACTACCGGGGGATCGAACTCGCGGAGAGGTCGATATATCGACGGGCGTGTGACATCGTCCATCCTTTTAGCACGATGATGTCACACTGTCACACGTCTCCCCCGCACTCATAACGGACCATGACGTGGCGCCGATCATCACCCGGCAGATATTACGAGGCGCGCGAATCTCGTTTGTAACCCGTGGTGACGCATACATGATTATGTGACGTTAATGTGATAATATGACACAAATGTGACGTTACTGTTAGATTATAAAGTGCAGTGGTGCTTGAAAAGATCGATGAAAATTGAAGAATTGGGGAAAAAGAGGGAGTCCCATTGTAGACGTCCTTTGATGTAAGAATACAAGATAAGCCACTGCGCTAATGGTGGCTGAATATAATTTGGAACTAATTTCTGACTGGTGACAAATTTTTAATAATGGATTTGTATTAGCTTACAGAATTTGAGATCAATTTTTGATTGGTCATCCACTGTGCATATCGACGAGACTATCACTTAATTATTCTTACATCATAAGATATCGACATACGGAATAGATTGGGTATCGCAATAGCTAAATGCGCGCCTACTATACTAATAAGAGGTATATATAAGCCTATTTTGTATGATTAGCATCTCATTAAGAATTGTGATAACCCTCCATAAATCCGTCGGCTTAACATGAATTTCAACTCTTGCAACATCATCAACAAGGGAGATCTTCGAGAAACAAAACAAATTTTACATTGTTCTGTATTTTATAAAAATTTGAAAAAATTCTGATATACTTGTCAAAGCTAGGCTTTAACCATCATATAAGTTGAGTTAAATTTTACTTATATTTATAGATTTAAATTTATTTATCAAAATTCACAATTAAAATATCGATGGTACCTTTAAAGTCTCCAATTGTTGGCAAAAAATTAATTCTAGTAGGAGACAAACTCGACAATAAAATGCTAGCAAAAGACAAAATAGGCTTCTTATGAACTATCTCTCATTCTATAGCGATGCTCAATTCATTCTATATGTCGTAGAACTTATCAACTTTCGTTTGAAAAAATCTCAGTGGGTAAATATATCAGATAATAAAAGTACGAGATAAGTTTGCTTGGCGACTTACGGATTTTAAAAAAGCGCCTCTGCCTTTATACACAGCACCATGTGACCTGCTTCCATGCTTGTGTAGCATGTTTAATCCTCTATCGACGCTCATTCATAAAATCATACACAACGAACACTCTCGGTTCTTTCTCTATGGAATATAACACCCAAGAAAGTTCACGTCACACTCTCCAATGTCCTCGCGCAGATGCTCACAATTGTTGATGTTTATTCTCGTGTCAAACCTGAATAAATTTACTTGTACAGGTACATTTATATTTATATATTTTATTATATTTATATATTTTATTATATTTAAATATCTAATCCACATTCAGACTTTATTTAATCGCGTTTGATTCTCTCTTTCAATTATTATTAAACTAAAAATTATGATAGAAGAAAATAAAGGAAAGCACACAAATTAAAATAAAATAAAAAGAGTTGCAAAGTAAAATGAAATAATTCGAATAACTACACAATAATAAAGTAAACAAGAAATAAAGTAAAATAAGAAAAATTAGAAAAAGAAATTGAAATATAAGTCTATTACATAAATCCATCTCAAATATAACATAAAATTGATATCAAATATATATGTGCGTGTATCTCCAGTCTGTCTTAATTTTTAGTAAGTGGAATAATTAATTGACATTTCATCTTGTCGCGTTCTATAAATATCGAATGGCATTGACGCAAAGAAATGATATCAGACAAGTTTCCCACGGTTCAAGATCAACATATAGAATGATCTTTGCACTATAATTTAAGAACGAGTGGCGATAAGATGTCCTATAAGATGCGTTATCGATTTAGCTCGACTCGAATATCTGTAATTTCTCGGAATCTTTGTCGGACCAAAGCCAAAAATTGCGTGAATGTGTTCGATTGAACTTTTGAAGCGATATGACTTATCGAAGCGCGAAAAAATACCGATAAGAATGTTATTGTGAACTAGTTTTGAACTAATGTTTGAGTAATATGTGACTAATCTCTAAAGAACAACATTCCAGAAATTCAAGGAAATATATTTCTTCATAAGCTAAAAAGAAACAAAATAGTCTGATAAGAAATTAACAATTTGTAATTGGAATGTTTTTTTCAGAATTGAAAATTTTTGAATTAGAAATAACTCCATACTATACTCAGAGAAAAAAAAAACATAATAGTTGCAAACTATGTATAAAAGTGATGACTATACAAGTGTCATTTCATACGTAGAATTAATGCACATAATTGAATAAACTGTTTTAGAATTATTACAATTATACAATAGTTTATTCAATGAATTTATGCATATTAATTCCACGTATTGTGGACAAAACTTGTACAGCTGTCATCTTTACAGTTGCCATCACTATGTTCTTTTCTGAGTGTATCATTATAGAGTTCGATATTTAGGTTTTAGCGTAACAATAATTCGTCACGACAGCTGTTTAAATACATCGGTTTATTTACGCGAATAAAGAATTCCCGCAATGCGAGCAAACTGCAAACACGCGCACCAAACGTTTTCTCAAGTACTTCGAAGAATTAATCTATAATTGCCGTGAGCAAATTCCCGTGTGATAGTATACAGTGCCGGCAAACATCGAGACGAAATTTATCAAATTATATTAAATAACATAAAAAAAAATATGTTATTCTAAATTAATACGCATTTCTAAATTCTTTCGGCATAGAAAATTATGTTACAAAATATATTATCAGATAAGAGTAATTATTTAATTCTTTATAATCGATTCTATTGATTGCTAAATTAAAGAGAGTGCAAATGCAATGAAAATATGAGCATTACAAAAAATAATATTCTTGATTTCATAGAACACGAGCTAAAATAAATTATTATAAATAATAATTTCTATAAATTATTTTTCACTAATTACATTATTTGTATTCATTTTTAGTGAACAACAGTATTATTATTATTAAATATACCTTATTTTTCACAATCTTGTGATTTTATTACAAATATATGTATTATCTGTAATATGTTGTAACAAATATCGTAAAATTTCGGTCACATAATTTTAAAAGTACTTATAGTACAAGAGTCGAGGAGACTCCAATCGAAGGGAATCGAAATGTTCGTTTTATTTCCGTGAGGAAGTCACGTAGCAGCTGGTGCCATAAACGACGACTCGCGTGCATGAGAATACTTGTAAACGCATTGAAAATAGATTTTCCTCTCTGTCTCGCGAATTTCTGTTTGTTTTTTTCTTTTAGGTAGACAACGATGAGATGCACATTTTCATGCAATTATCGCGACACGCGAGGTCACGTTTGTAAAGTCTGTCGAAATAACTCTGTCGCTTTTTAATTTTATCATGATTACGGATACTGTTGACATTAAAATTAATTGTCGAGCCAATCTTGATAAATCACACTGTGTAACTGTCACTTTCCTTTATTACTTCTTTACAAACGAATTTATATAATATTTAAACATTATTCACTTAATACATTAATCAATTGTTACTATTTCAACATGTCTCTACTACTATAATTCATTATTTATATTATTTCCTAAGCATTTAATTATTACATTAAAAATAAGAGAAAAGATGATAAAATTCTGTTAGATGCCAACGCCTCCGATAAAATTGCGAGAGAGGAGAGATTCTCCTGAAAGTAACGTTGTTCACTGCGCGAAACTCACGGATGTACTGCCGATTTGTCGTCGCGATCTCTTGATATCATATCATCGACTCGATGATTCACGCATTTACTGTCAACGGAGTTGGCGCGTCTACTGACGACCTTACGATATAATGAGGAAGACATCGCCGCCGTATCGATGGTGATGGTAAGGAATCAGCTGGCTGCACAAGGAGGAGAAGAAGAAGAGTAGGGATTGAAGTAGTCGCGAAGGAAAGGCAAGGTGTCACTCGAAGTAAGAATCGCATGGTGGTAGCAAAAAAATTCGAACAAGAGAACACCTTTTACATCTTCAATTGCTTACAGAGAAAATTATAAAGAAAATTGATAAGAATAAGGGCTATGAAATTAAAAAGAAAAATTTGCGTACAACAGTTTTTTAAGAGTTTGAGAAAATTATATTTATGTCAATGTGTAATCGTATATAATTTTCTTTGGTGATTTTTTTCTCTCTTAATGTTAGCATTATTATACTTATATATTTAGGTAGAGAAAGAGAGAGAAAAAGAGAATGTAAAGTTAATAATAAATTTTTCTTTTATATTTATTTCGAATTATTTATTTGGATGAGTAACTTCCTTCTTTCGTTAGCCGATGACGTAACTATTACTCTTGGATCACTGTTGCAATCAATTTATCAATTGTAAGATTTGCATTTTAGATAGACCATGAATTTGCCTGAACACGACGTTTAATGGAGGGGATCCTCGCAATAGCGGTGCATGTAATAAGCACTGCCTTCCGAGAATCATACGTGTGCAATGATTCACCCTGCTTGTGACCGAGGAAGAGAATAGAATGACGACATTCTCGAGATAGGTATTCGGTGTGTAAATACGAGCAAATGTACAGCGATTTCGCTGAAGTCTTCCAAACGCTTCTCAAACTCGATAAAGAGTTCGGAAGTGAGACTTATAATATTCATTTTCCAAAGAAGAGAAATTTTTAAACAAATTTTCTAATTAATGAAGTAATATTTTTTAACTCATTGTCAATCTTTTTCTATGTTATTATTTTTTCTAATGATTTATATTTTTTTACAGTTTTTTTTACAATCTGACTTAAAAATGCAGATATAAATTTCAGTGGTTTCTATTCTTCATTCTTGCTTGTTTTATAGATCTGACATACATATCTTCATTAATTTTTTTTTCATGTATCTCTTCCTTATACAAATTTCAAGTCATAGTTTATATCGAGGCATAACTTATATTGAGATTTTAAACATGGTTCTTGTACGATTCCTGATATGGCATCGCCACACGGCACTTCGTTAATCATGCCTTTGTTGTTGTCAGATACCTGGAATCGCGCGGACTAATTATCATTCGGTAGTTATTCTTGCATACGTTTACATCGTCGTCGACGATCGATATCATTCGTCTTGAATCGATAGCGGCACGTAATCTCTCGCCATATAAAGCCATGTAAATCATTCTCGGCGCACGACTCGCTGTTTCCTTTTAGCCGGAATTACGAGTTGGGTCCATTCATTCGACTGATGATGTAATTGCAATCGTACTACTACATTCCGCTGAATTGAACGGATAAAAGCAGGATCGTCAGTGCAAGATGTATCATCGATGATGTAACTGCTGCTGTAATGTTAATTTTGTGTTGTTAATTGTTAATTCAAAAATCTCTCGCAACTTTTTGTGGAATTTTCTTGAATAATATTTTCTATTTGTTTAAAATTATTTTGCATGGAGGATAATTTAAGAGAATTATATGCTCCCTTTTGCTTATAATTCTTAAATTGGATAAAAAAATTAGCATTTAAAATATGTGATAAATGCATCAATTTATATGTGTTAAATTTATCACACAGAATATTCATTTGTCTTTAATTCAAATTAATTTTGCGCTATTAATTATATGTAATTATATGTATTAACGTTGATAGTTAATTATAAAAAATGAAAATATATATTGTTTTTTTTGTAAAACTCGTGATACATTTTGCGTTTTATAATAAATAACAGTAGGAAAAATAAACATTTATTTTTAAGGTACGTTATTTTTTTATCATTTGTATAAATATTCATAGAAACTTATATCGAGACTTGTAGGCTATTCACAATAACAATTGGCAATTCAGACAAGTTGAAGCCTTGAACTTGGGAACTCGAGGAAGACGAATAACAAATGTGATACGATTACCACGACTCGGTCTAGTGACTCACTTTTGCGAGTCAAGGATGCGACGATTCTTGTCAAAGCATGATCTCTGGGAAGTAAATTGCCGGTTACTCAACCGATGTTAGTCTACTAAGAAGCAGTTTTCAATACTGACAAAATCGTAACGAAGATATACCTTAGTTTAAGCGAACGAAAGCAAAATTAAGTCTCTCAGAAATAGAATCGACTCATCTATGAAGTGGAATTCGAACATTCGTCATTTCCGGAAATATTGAATACTCCGTTTTTGATCTTTCGTATTTATAT